AATAAATTTTAGTTACTTAATATGTTGGGAAAATGTCGTCTAAACGTGTGTTGTTGTAATATGTTGGGAAATTGTGTATACATTGTCAATTAAAACATTTGCAGGAGGAGGAAGAAGATGATGACGATGTTGATATATCAAAATACAACCTGGATGATGAAGACACACCTAAACATTCTATGAACAAAGGGGATATGGATAATAGCTCTTCCCAAAACCAGTTAGGAAAGACTGCATTGGAAAAAACAGGCAACAGAAAAAGTAGAGAGCGCAAATATTCGAGTTGCAGCAGTAGTAGCAGAAGTTCGTCATCCTCAAGCTCGTCTAGGTCTAGGTAACAACTACAAGGTTTAAATAATAATTGTTAACCAAATTATAAATACATTGAAGTTCAGCCTGTTCCTGGCTGTTAAGCTCCGTTTGTTTACAATTTCTATTTCATTATATCATTAAGTCATTAATCCAATTATGCATATTATTATATTGATTATGGCACTCAGTTCTAGATCTTACTCGTCGTCTTCATCATCATCGTCATCATCTTCTTCAACCAGCTCTGAAGATAAAAAACGAAGGAAACGTTCAAGATCTAGGTTATTTTTTTTTATATCTTTTTAGAGGAATAAATATCAAAAAACTGTAAAATCTGTTTATTTGTAATTTAGATCTCCAGAGTCGCGCTGTAAAAGACGTAAATCAGACTCTCCTCTGGCCAAAACGAGTAAGACTTCAAGAAATAGATCAAAGTCACCAAGATACTCCAAGTCCATCAAAAATGCGTCTAGATCGAGTGGTAGGCGATCTGCTTCACCAAAGAGAAAAAACTCGAAACGTTGAAGGTTCCATTTTTTCATAATGTTTGTAATAGTGGTTTATTACAATCTGTAATGCAACTTTATCTTCTGTTATTTTCAGATCCCGTCAATTGTCAATTAACGGAAAAACTTCAGTTGCAACTTTTTTAAGTTAAACTAAATTTGTAACTGTCGACAATTGGCTATTTCAGCCGCGTTATATATTAATATGAGCAATTTAAATTTTGAATGAAAACATTTACCTTTTTGCGATTGTTGTCCAAATTCGTAATAATGCTTGATTAACTATAAATAAATAATGTGTAATTTTAAGTCTATGGTATCGTTAGCTTGGCCATTTTAAAACAAAAAATCGTTCAGTTTCTTCAGTTATTTGTGAGTTGATCCGGATATACGTGCTTACGTGTATTGCAATCTTATATCCTTGAATCACAGTGCAAAAGTCTGCGTACGACGCGAAACTTATACTTGACTCAAAAAGTGGTTGACAACGGGTTCATTTTATGCCAATGAAAATAGCGACACTATATAACTATCGTTTTATTAATTTACAAATCAAAAATCAGTTTCACAGATAAAATTTAATGTTCACGAACTCTCTTTTCAAAATACAATTCGATAACAGTTATCACATACTGACACCTTCAGAGCAGAGTCAATTATCGCTTTTTGTCTTTATGTGCTGTCTTATGACGCTTTTCGAGCGTACTGGTTGTCTCGCTGTCAGAAGGTCCTAGTTCTGTTTCGAACGACTGGGTGCGTTCGTAGCGCCTCTAACGAATATACTTGTAGCAGTTATAACTTTTCGTTCCCATTTTCTATGTCACAATAAATAGAAAAACCCTGGGACGAAATTTCTCCAGCTCCATGACTGAAAAATTTCCAACTTCTGAGTAGCAGCGCCTTACCAAAACCGCAGAACAAAACGACGTCGGAGTTGGATAAAAAATATCAAAAAAATATAAATAAAACATCAAAACATTTCGACTCAGGGTGGAAATTCCCGTTTTCTGGTTCCGACTCACAAAAAACTTATTAAACTTTTACATCAAAATTTCACTTTATTATCACAACTAAATAAAGAAGACTTAAAAAAAAACAGTTGATCAGTTAATGTAATTGTTTTTCTTAGTAAATTTACTTTGTTTTTATGTTTGAAAACATACTGAAAAAATGATGTGATTTTATTCACACAATTATCATTTATTTTCAGTATTAAAGATGATTGCATATCGCTCAACAAATTTATCATTTAAAACACGATCTTTGAAAGAATTTTCTGAAAAATTTTTTTTAAACTAATAACATTTTTCGGAGGAAAATGTCCGACTGCTGCCCCTCAAAATATTCCGACTCCGGCAAGCAAAAGCTCTTTCAAAGTCGTTTACGTGCAGCAACAAACATACGTGGAGCAATTCTTAAAACTTAAAAACGATGAAAACAATGTGGAATATAAATGAATGTCTAGTCAAGCAAGAAGCGACAATATCTGCGGTTACAAAGGTTTTAAAAATGGGGCATTCAGTTGTGCAAAAAGTAGGTTCTGTGCATCTTTTATGACTTCAAGTAATGTTAATATGGGCTATGGCGAAATGTTACAAATAATTCCACGGTCGCAAATCTTTTACCGCAAAACTAATCTGCTGGTTGAAATATGCTGATTCCAACGCTTCTGTTGGAAATATTTTTTTAAAAATTCTGGCATAAATTTGAAGACACCTAGACCTAGCTTTTCTCGTTATCAAAATTAAGTGGCTCACTCGTGTTGGGTCAAAAAACAATTTGTACGTCAAATATTCACAAGTGTTGGATAATGAAATGTAAAATCATTTTTACTGTTTTTGTTTTTTAATAATTGTTTACAAATTATGTGCTTTGTATCAACATTTTTCAAACGACAACCCGAGAAATGCTAGCTAAAACAACTTTTTAAAATTTTATTTATCGAAATATTGGATAAAGAAAATCAGTTTGATTACAAATTAGTTTGTCAAGGTTTTACACATAAAAATATTATTAATATTACTCTGCATTGAATATAATTAATAATGTACTTTAATATTGACCTTAGTTGGGTATTTTATGATTAAAATAAAAAGTTTATGTAACAAATCTGATTAACCCAGTTCTTCATATAGCTCTTCAATAACATCCTCCTCGTTATTTGCCACGTCATCATAAATTTCCTCTACCGAGTTCATGTTTGTTTGTTTGTCATTTGTTGGCACAGGAGGGGCCGCTCCTCTGACAATAGAGCCAGATTGACAAACCGTATTTTGATGTGGCAATGACGGTTTAAATGATTGAGATTTTTTTTTTAGATGTGCTCTTTTCTCCTCTTCCATTTCCTCTTCTTCTGTAAAAAGTGATATAGGTCTAGATTCTTGTGCTGACGGATTATTTTTTTCATTATCTTCTTGAATTTTTCCAATTTTATTTTTTCTTAAAGTTGTTTCCATTTTTAATGATCTGCTTAGAAAAGATTTAGTGGGTATTTTTATCTGGTTTTTTATGTCGTCATCCAGAGAATCCAACGTAACAAACGGCGGTCTTGCTGGTTTTCTAGGTCCTTTTGAAGCATTTATTGGCGTTGAAAGATGTTTGTAAGTTTTTATTATATCACCACTAGTTTTAATTATTTGTTCGTTTTTTACACTTAATCTAGCTTCATCGAGAAATACATTGTCTTCAACTATTTCATTTTTTAAACTAACTTTTAATGATGGAGCCATCGTAATTGGCTTATTTTTTTTCTGAGCCAAGAAAAGAGATGTCGATTCATTGGTTTTACAATGAGGAGGCTTAGCTCCATTTTCAGATTCCAGCCTATTAACGCATGCTTTTTCTTTCGTTTTTGATTCAGTTGGTTTTGTGTTCTCATTATTTAATGGAATGAATAATTTTGGAACAGTTGAAAACTTATCTAGTTTTTGTGATATCGAATTATCAGAGTGCTTAATCAGCTGAAAATTTTCACCATCAACTTGTTTTGATATTTTGGCTTTTGCTAATTGATTATGTAAAAATGAATTTTTTACATTTGTTTCTGATTCAAATTCTGGCAAAATATTTGAAATATTGGATGGAATTTTTTCTCTGCTTTTAGTAAAATTTGCGTTGGTGGTTGTTCCGTGCGTCGTTTCGCTTATCTTGCGGTTTGGAATATTTATATTTTTTGAAGATGGTTCGGCTTTAATAGTTTGCATTTGATTATTTATTTCATCGTTTGGCTTGTTTTCAACCTTTTTCAAGTTAGCCGGTTTATTTTGTAAAGCAGGCTTTGTTTGTACGATAGGCTTTTTCTTTTGATCACTTGTTTTTAAGAGCAACGACTGCTCTACAACTTTTTTTGATTCTTCATATAATTCAGTTGATACATTGTCTTTTCTTTTTAAATCGTCCGTTTTTGTTGCATGTTTGACCGCGTGTTTAAATGGTCGTTCAGCTGGCATGTTTTCAAATTTTTGACTGACTGGTTTGACTTTCGTTGTTGCAGAGGGTCCATTAACGCTTAGCAATAAATTTTCATTTCCATTTAGACTCATCTTAAATACCGTTATAGAAAATACGTATTTAACAAACTAACTCGATAATTTTTGCAAACGTCTAAAAATTAACAAATTAAATTGATTGTATTTGTTTATTCAACAAAACTTAGAAATAACTTCCTCGTTAAATTCGAATAGAACTTATATGTAGAAACTATTTAGCATCCTCTATTATGTTGAAAAATTACACACACACAAGCTACATATAATTATTTGCGTGCTTACTATACTGCTCTGTTAGTGAAGACTATAATTACAATGGTCTAGGTAAATTTATTTTACTTGTAGTAATTACAGTTATGAAACTTCGTTTTAAATAATTTATATTGTTAAACGTGACAGTTTATCTACATTTTTATATGAGTTTTTATCAATTTGTGAAAATCGCTGAATTTGGAAAGTCGCGAAATGCATTAGAACGTGTGCGTTTTTTGCAATTTTCCGGTATTCAGTCTTCTGATTCTTAGGATCTCATCTCGCTAAGCACACTTTGAATAAATAATATAGCTTAATTATTCAAATAGATATGATGACCGTTGAAAATCCAATAAGCGCATCAAAATTTTGAAATTCGAATTTATTACATGTCATTTTACATCTTTTAACAACAATTGACATCTTTTTTTTTTTTTTTTTTTTTTATTTGCTCCTCAAAATTAAAGATAATAAATAAGAGACAGGATGAATGTGATCGAGCCCCTAATGGGCTCATCTAGCACAGCCACCTAGACAAATATGTTCAGAGTTTTGTGATTAATATCAAATATTGTTAGTTGTTAGTATGTTAGTTGTTAGTAGGTTAATATCAAATATTGTTAGTTGTTAGTATGTTAATAACAGATAATAAAACAAAAGGTAGTTAACTAAAAAATAATGTTTCATAGATAATTATAATCGCATTAAAAATATCAACAGAAATTGTTTTTAGATAGAGAACATAAATTTCATGATGTAAATACATTTCTTATATAATTTATTAAATGTTCAGTGATTTTACAAACATCTCTACATTATTAATAAGGATAATAATTTTAATAATTGTTAATTATTAAAAACGATTTAACCTTTTTTTAAAAATCAGTAGCCGATTTCGCCTTATATTGGAAACCATTCTTAATAATGTTATTCCAGGTCCTAGGACCCTTACAGATTACATGCGAATGTAAAATGTTAGTTTTTGATTTATTCGATTGCAAATAATTAGACATCCTATGACTGTTAGCATGTTTAAAATAATTAACAAACGTATTAGGCAATTGATTGTTAAGCTGCTTATACACAAAAATCAAAGTACGATAAATATTCAATTGATTAAAATTAAGATTATTGGTTGTCGTAAATAACTCCTTGGTATGAGACCTCATCGTTGACATGGTGATGATTCTGACGGCCCTTTTCATCATAAGTTTAACCGGATCCGTGACTGAAGGAGACGTGCCAGCCCAGACAATGTTGCAATAAATCACGTGTGGCATAAAAAGTGAGTGATACAACAAATTCAGACACTTTTTTGTGAGGTAGAATTTCACCTTATTCATCAGACCAGTTGATTTGGCAAGTTTGTTTGCAACACTATTAACGTGATCACGGAACGTTAACTTTTGATCTAGATGAACGCCCAGAAATTTAACTGTTTTATTTTCGTAGATATCGATATTATTTATTTTAATTTTATAAGGTTCTTTGTAGTTTAAATATTGAGTTGGTCCAAAGATTATCATTTGCGTTTTAGAACTATTTAAAGTAAGTTTATTTAGTGAGAACCAAGAGTTAACATGCTTAATTTCTTCTTCTGTATATTTGATGAGCATGTTAATATCTTTTCCTTTGCTGAACACATTTGTATCGTCAGCAAAACAAACATAATTAAAAAGTTTAGAGGCCATCGGTAGATCGTTCACAAACACTATGAATAACAATGGTCCCAAAATGCTGCCCTGCGGAACGCCTATTTTGTTGATCAATTTACTTGAATTTTTATTGTTCCAATAACGAATTGATATCTTGATGAAAGGTAGCTACGAAACCAAGTCAAACTGGAGTCTCTTATACCATAGTGATGAAGTTTGTGTAATAAAATCGAATGGTCAATACAATCAAAAGCTTTTGAAAGATCGAGACATATTCCAATTACATAATTTTTCTTTTCACTTGCGACTCCAATTTTTTGAATCAGTTCCAGTATTGCCATTTCAGTTGAATAGTTTTTTCGAAAACCAAATTGATGATTAGAAAGAATGTTATTTTTTTCAAAAAATTTGAGCAAACGACTGTGCATCAATTTTTCAATAATCTTCGAAAAAACAGGCAACAAAGATATAGGTCGAAAGTTTTTAACCTCTGAGTTACCTCTTTCTTTTGCAATTGGAACAACTTTGGATGTCTTGAAGCACTTAGGAAAGATGCCTTTGTCAAATGATAAGTTGATTAAATATTCAAGAATTTTTGCTGTTGATTTAATTGTTGATATTACTATTTTGGTTGATATTTCATCGTAACCACTCGACGTCTTGGGTTTGAAAAGTTTTGTGGTTGAAATGATTTCAGATGATGAAACACGGTTACTAAAAAATGAATTTACTGACCCATTTTGAAGATAATTTTTCCATCTTGTGTCTTCTACAAATGATTGCTGCATATCTGAGGCCAGATTGATGAAATAATTATTGAGGATAGTTTCAGGATTATCAATTGGATCATCATTTAAAGTTAATTGAATTGTTGATGTTTTTTTGTTATTTCGTTTCGTTAAAGAATTGATGATTGACCATGTTTTCTTGCTGTCGCCATTGCTTTGTTGTAGAAGATTAAAATAATATTGTCTTTTCAACTGGCACTTGATCTTGTTGCATAATTTGCTGCATTGAGTGCTGTAAAGTTGTCTGACGATGTGTGCTTTAGATATTTTTTATATAACATTTTCTTCTTTTTTAACATTTGTTTAAATTCTTTAGTTATCCACGGTTTGTTTTTTGTTATCTTCTGAGCCTGTCTTTTAGAGGTCACTGAACAATAAGTTTTATAATGTAACCGAAAGATGTCGATGAAATTTTGGAAGGCCACATCTACATCATCGCAGCTCAGCACACTTGTCCAATCGGCATTACATAAACCTTCATTTAAATTATTCATTCTGTGTGTTGAATAAGAATATTTTGAAAATGTAACGTCAGCAACTGTCTTATTATTTATTTTTTGATTAGTGGAAGAAAAAAGTGGGATGTGGTCTGATAGGTCGCATAAAATGGTACCACATTGTATAATATTTTCTGGATGATTTGTAAACAAAATGTCTATAGTGGATTTTTTTGTATTACTGATTCTTGTAGGAACTGTGATCATGGATTTGAGGTAGTAACATGTCACAAGTTGGTTCAATTGAATTTTATTTATACTGCTAACTTCTGGCGATAAGTCAATATTTAGATCTCCCAAAAGATAAACAAATTTATTTTCATTACTAGTTATTTGTAAAACTTGTTCTAATTCTTTAAAATATTGTTTAATTTCGTATATTAGAGGTCGATAACTAACCATCACAATTGAATTTTTAGATTTAAAATTGTTAATGATCTCTATTGCAATCATTTCAAACTTTGGCGAGCCAATGGTATTTAAATCATCTCTTATTCGAAAGGTAGAATCATTCCAGACATAGAAACCAACTCCACCGTGTTTGTCACGACGATTTTTGCCTACATATCTATATTCATCCATGCCAACCAAACTTTCAGTACGTTCGTTTAACCAGCTTTCTGTTATCGCAACTACATTGAATTTGATGTGACTGTTTGACAAATAGCTTTCTAATTCATCGGTTTTGTTGACCAAACTTCTTATGTTCAAATGCATTAAGTTGAAAAACATACTACTATCAAAATCTTTATTTATTAATTTATATTCATCATTCAACGTCTCAAAATTGTCATACCTTTTACATGTAGTTTGCTTGGGGTTTAAATTGTCTTTTTCTTCATCATCACTGCTGTCATCATCATTATCAACATGTTGTTTATCCATCTTTTTTTGTTTGATCGACAATTGTTTCTGGTTTCTTATTGAATTGCCACTCGCGTACTATAACGTGCTGGGGCATTATGTCAGGGTCTTTCATTTTCTTAGAATCAGAGCTATCGATGCAAACTCTAAACGTACTGGATTCTTCTTCATCTGTTTTTTTATTCTCAGTTTGACTATTATTATTGTTATTGACGTCGGCTGTAGAAGCTGGTGCCATTTTATTGAGTTGTTTGAGTACGGGATAACAGGAAACAACATGGATACGATTGTCGGTTAGGTAGGCCATCACATAATTTCTGTGGCACTTGCTGACGTTGCTTAAACAGAACACAGATTTTTTCATTAAGATTTTATCTGCCTTCAGTTTGCAATCATTTGAAACTTTTTTACCGATTATTTTCATAGCTGTCTTTTTTCCAGTTTGTTTGTTGTTTGTTGGGTTGTTGCTGGTTTCTCCTGAGTTGTTTTGTTTCTCACAATTGTTGTTATTTTGACGTGATTTTTTTCCGTTTACAGTTGTGAACGGGGTACCGTAGTCTTCTGACTTTGCTATGTCTGACCACAGAGAACTACTGACATTTTTCTTTTGTCCCTCCTTGTTTGTCATTTCAGTACTGTAGTCACTTACAACATTAGAATTTAATTTATTTTTCAATGTATTAACTTCTGGTTTATTAATATCAGCAGTTTTAATAACGTTTTTTAATGAAATAATATCAGCTTTATTACTTTCAACAGTTTCAATAACTTTGTTAAATTGCACCTGTTGTTTGTGCAATATATCTTTTAATTCTAATTTGATAGTTTCAAAGTTCAATGTTAACAAATTTTCAGACTTCGGAACTTTATTTAAATTACAACTAACAAATAATGGACATTTGTCCCAACATTGGTTTTCTTTCAACTGTTTAATTAACGATATACATTCTAATATTTTTTCAGTTTTCATATTCCCGCGCGACTGCAATTTTTCACTTTTTTCAATTTTAAAATTATTTAATTCACTTTTTATCAACTTAATTGCATTTACAATATCCTCGTGAGTATAAAACACAGATATATTATTAATAAACGTTTCATTCTCAACTAAATTCCAATTATTTTCCAAATAATACAGGAACTCATTTATTACAAGCGACCTGGACGCCATTTTTTTACATACACAAAAACGACATTTTTAACGACATACACAAAATAAAAAAGCAAAAAAAAACTTTTCAAACGTTGTATCCAGATTTAATTGCATTCAATTTAGATTATTTTAAATAGCCTCCTAAAATTAAATTTTATAAAATGAAAAATTTTTTATTTAAAAGTTCTACAATGAGCAAAAATTTCTTTCATTAAAGTAAACGTGAACATGGAATTCTCATGGGTATTGGTAAATCCAAATTTTAAGAAATGGAAATTTTAGATAATAGGAAATCACTAAACCAAAATCAAGAATGAAAGACTAAAGACGAATCAGAAAAAATACCAGAAGAGCAACTGTTTTCATAACCGAATCGTTTAGAATGGTGGTTTTTTTCATAGAATAAATTTGGTCACTTGTGAAAGAATTGTAACTTTTAAAAAATCTTATTTGATTTTCCATCAAAGACATGTTCACTAGATGTTATTAATTTTAATGTTCTTTGTGATTGAATTTTCAGTCTCAGTTGTGATTAATATTGTTACCGTTCGAAAATATAACAGTATTATGATATGAATTATAGTAAGGTGCATGTTTGTATGTAATGTTTTTGTGAGTTTATGTGTATGTATTTATTTGACATTTTTCTTTTACATTTATAGTTAGAATCATCTCGAAATTAAAAAGCTGACTGAAATTTTTTCCTACTGGCACCTGGCATCAGTTAAAAGTAAATACAAATTTCACTTGTGATACAAAATGAAAATATTCAGTTCTGTCAAAAAGCAACGAAACTTGGGATGCATTTTTGACACCAAACTGACGATGAATGAGCATATAAAATCAATTGTGAAAGTTTGTTCATTTCAACTTCAAAAATTTTAATTCGAGTTAAAAAAAATCATTAAACAGATCAACATACTGTCTTTAATGCACGCTTTTGTTCATTCACGATTGGACTAAAGCAACAGTTTGTTTTATGGTTCACCGGACAGATCGATTACGATGCTTCAATCGGTGCAGAACAAAGCTGCTAAAATTGTTGCAGGTGGCGCTAAATTTGACCACGTCACTCCAATTCTGAGAGACCTACATTGGCTTACTGCCGACAAAAGGTTAATTTACAAGATCAGTATAGTAATGTAAGAAGTATTAAAAGTTTCAGGTAAAAATGAACGTTACGTGCTGACGCAATTTTGAGATCTGACTCCCGATGATTTTCCATTTATGAGTGCTGTTGCGGTTGCGCTTATGTTTGTTGAGAACACCGAACCAAGAAGAGCAGTGAGCGGGAGAAGAAAAGAATAGTATTAGTTTGGATAGGCTGGACGTGGACACGTGTTTCGTTCCTAACGAGGACTCATCAGCAGCCCAAATACCAGAAGAGTTATCGCTGTTTCTTATACAGCCCGCACAAATTACTTCTTAGCTCGTGGCGTTTTACATTCATTATTAGGATTGTTAGTTTTACTCGCTAGGATTTATCAATCCGACAGTGCTGTCTGATTCCACTTCGCTTTTTTTTTATAAGCTTATCCTCAGCGGTTGGGCGATTCACAAAGAAACATAACATAAACTGATAACTGAAGTGTGTATATGTTCGCACCAAAATAGTTTTTACCAGTTTACTTCTTGCTAACATTAAACTAAACCATAAAACTTTCGAAGTTTGTAAAAGAGTATTTATTATGATGTAACTATGTCTCTATTGATATGATAAAATCATGGATATAATATAGATATATATCCATGGATAGAATCGAATCAATCCAGCCATTTTACCATTCTTTCATTCTTACTCAAAAATTGTTAAGCGCTATTAAACTTCTTTCAGATCAGGTGTGAATATAATACAGGTGTATTATATACCGGTATATTAATACAGGTGTACCTCAATCAGTGAATAGACAGAAAGTCATAATGGTCGGTGTTAGCGTTTTAAGCCTTGAAATATTTATATTTTTAAATTTCGTTTCTTCAGGTGAGCATTTACGTTTTTAATGTAATTCGATCGTTGATCGCTTACTGTATTATTACATTATTTATTAATGTACTATTTTATATTGTTTTTTTTTATTTCATTATATTTTTTTATTGTTATACTTTTATTAATTTAACTTTTTATTTTATAAATATATTCAACATAATTGTTATGTTATGTTGTTTTAATATTAAGTATTTTTTTAATCATTAAAGATTATTATTATTAATTATAATTACAATAAATATTATTATTTCGTTTTAATACTGATTAATATTAAATTAAATAGATATAAAATTATAAATTTAATTATTTTCGCAACATTGGTATTAATTAATTTTATTTGTAAATAAATTTCAATTTTACTGATTGCTTGCTGTAGCAATGTATTATTACATTTCATTACTATGTGTGGCTACATTATATTATTTGATTGTTTTATTACAAATTACAGTATAATATATTTCTAAATAAAAGCTTTCAGAATACAATGTTATTTCTATACTACATGTATAACTTTGAATATCAATGTTATCTTATCACATTGTTACATTATATTATAAAAGCTGTTGGAATACAATGTTATCGTTGTGTTAGCAACCAACCTGGATGTGGGAAAGAGTTGAGCATAAGAACTCAGAGGTGGCAAACATGCAATTACGGTGAAGGGTCAGATGATGTTGGAGAAAACTTTTGTGTTAAAGTCATAGAACAAAGAGATTGTTAGTTTGTGGCTTGAGTGATTTTTTGCCTTTTATTATCAATTATTATTGTAATGTTCAATTAATTAATTAATGGCTCAATGGTTAAAGGCACCGCCTATCATATGCAATGTGTAATTTGTTATGAAATTAATAATGTGTAATGCAATTTCACATGTATTCATATACGCTGTGTGTGTGTTTGTCGTTGAAACCTCTTTTGTTTTTTTTGCTTTCTTCTTTATGAATGTTGCACAAGCGATGACACTAGTCAGATTTATTGATGAAAATCACAGCATGTTCCGCGTTAGTTAACTTCCTTTATTATTTTTCTTACGGTAGATCGTAAATCATTGGCAAGTTTCTTGAGTTTAAAACCAAAACATTGTTTGTTAAGATTTACAATAAAATAACTCAGAATTTTATTTCTGAAACAGCAAATATCGTAATTACAAGAGAATGTCTTTCCACGATGTTGTCAAGTACCAGACACAGAGAAAAAATTCCAACAGTAAGACGACACAATTATTGTCAATACGGCAGAAATAATGACCCGCTCAAACCCTATGATACAAAAACACAATTCTGTTTTTGCAACGACAGAGATGGATGCAATGCTGCCATGAGATATGGTTTTTCATACGATCTTCTAGTAGTAGTGACAGTATCTTATATATTTTTTAGTTCTTTTTTTTAATTTTTTTTTATAAATTGTTTTTATATTTTTTGAGTTTTATTTTAAAAAAATTTAAAAATTTAACCATAAATTTTTGTTGGGTGCGCAAAAAATTATCAAAGTTGGCGCTCTTTTTTACTTCTGTTTTTTTTCACATTTTGTTGTGGGGGCTGAAACAGTTTTTATAAATTCAATTGTCAATGTTGATAAATTTATTTTATAAACAAAATCATTTCAACTACAACAGCAAAAAATGAGTTTACATATTTTTTACGAAGTAATACTTATTTTAAAAAATGTTTTGGGGTGAAGATTCACTTTGCATCCCCTAGTAAAATTGAAGCTCTCAATTTTGATCATGTTGGATAAAAATGTGACCATTGATATATATATATATATATATATATATATATATATATATATATATATTATCCATGGATGTGACTGTTATATCAAACTTTTTTATTTTTAAAGTGCACCTTTCAAACGTTACTAGATTTTAAAAAATAATCAAACACTTTTTGTGTAAAATATTGAAAAAAATGTTGATTTATATATTCTCTACGCACAGACGATTTCATATTGATAAAATTACGCTGAAAGGATATGAAGTTTCTACCAAGAGAAAAGTGTCTTATTAAGCGTAATAACGTTAAATGTAAACTTGGTTTACCGATATCGTTATAAAATAACTTTTATTTCTGTAATTCGAATGCGTATAAACTGTAAAGTGAATTTTATGTGGTGTCTTGAGTAAATTTCACGCTTCGGATCAGATTCGCTGCTGGTGAAGTGGGCGGTTTCTTCGAGCTGGTAGTTTTGTTGCTTTTCCGACAAGATAATTGAGTGGGTAACTCAGTAACTTAAAGTTTGTAAAAAAAAGGTATAACTATATGTAAGAGAGCAGCGCACTGTTGGTTGTGTTCTGATTGTGGGCGTTTTACCCAATGAAAATAGAAAAATAAAAAAATTATATAGAGCTCTAATTTTGAGCGCAAGAATTTCGATTTAAACTGAAATTCTGTATAATCGCTTATTTCCGATTACAATTTATAAATGCATGTTTTGAAATGTCTGGCTTGATGTTTTTGCTTGGGGAACTTTGGGTGATTTGGTCAGGTTTGTTTGATACGTTACAATTTATAGTGAAAATTTCCTAGATTCTCTTTCAATGCTGTCTCTAAGCCTTCAATTGTTTATCAGGATTTGTTTGTGGTTTTATGTGAGCGAAGCTTTACAAAACTGAAACTGGTAAAAAACTACTTACGGTCCGCCATAAGGCAGTTATGGCTTTCTGGTCTGGCTCTATTATCGATTGAAAATGAGATTGTTGAAGATTTAGACTATTTCGATTCAATTAAATTTTATTATTTCCAAGAGCTGACGCAAGAAAACTTGCTTGTAAAGCCACACAAATTCAAAAATGAACGTGAAACTAAAATTAAACGACAGAAAAAGATGAAATTGGTTAGTTGAGAAACCACTATCAAAGTTCCAATATACCAACTTTGACGATGGTTAGAAATTGTCTAACAGTCGACGCTTCAGGTTCTTTGAAAGAACTTCTGCTTGTTTCAAGAATTGAGATCTTCCAAAAATATTGATTTTGTGCTTCCAAAGCGTGGTTCTTCCCGCTCTAAAAAAAGGAGATATTCGGTATCATTGTCACAAATTTTGAAAGCATTTCCTGATTTAAAAAAATTTTGCAGCATGAATCAACATATTTAAGGGAAATTTCTGAAGCACCATTTGTTCAACAACCTAGAGCAAGAGATTGAATATTATTCCGATGAAAGACATGAATTGCCTATTGGGGTCTTTTTTGCAATAGCTCTCCCTCTATAAAATTAAAGTTCTTTCTTAAAAATTGTGGATTTTTTGGTATCCGGCCTCCGGCTTTGGCCGAATTCACTATTCAGTGAATCTCTAATACGCATATATAATTTTAAATATTAAAAACATACCTTATACGCAAAAACTTCCAATAACAATATCAATTTATTAAATGTTTCCAAAACAAAATGTTTACAAATAAATTAATTAATGAAATATGTATAAATGAAACGATTAATTAGCGTTGATTGGCGGAGGCACTTGAGGAGCCAGCGATGTGAAAAATCCAACAATAAGTGATACAATTAACGAGAGGAGTCCTGGTTGTTGATTGGCTGGTTGTTGAAGGACATTGTTGGGCTGTGCATTCTGTCGCGCGTGGTCAACGGGGTTCATGTCTTCTCCATTATTTTCCATCTTATATAATAATTGAAAATTTAATATTAATTGAAAAATTATTTTCAATGAAATATTATAAATCTAAACATGACGTTTACAACATGAAATGGAAATTTAATAACCATTATTAATATTCTTAAATAATTTTATAAATATATAACAAACATTTTGATTGGCATTCTGTGCTAGATCAGCGTTTTGCTGCTGATTCATAGCGGGAGCTCTTCCTAATGGTATATCTAACAAACCTGTTTGATACCTGAAAGGAAAACAAAAATTGTTAAATTAATCTTAAACAAAACATAAAGCACCAAACTAACAATAGAAAGAGCACCGAAAGTAGTATGAACGTTAGGAACTTGGTTGGCGTAGAATAGAAATACAGGATGCACATGAGCATGGAAAATCTCAATATAACGTAAGCCCAATCCAACCAATCTCGGTTACGGCCGTCATCATCATCCTCCAACATCAGAGCTCCACCTTGAGCATTCATTCGCTGAACTTGTGCTTGCTGTCGGGCCGGGTTAGCAGGCTGTTGCACCTCATCGGCAGGATGGACATGTTGCGTTCCTTCAAAGTTTGCATGGGACTGCAATGAGTAATTAGGCTGGCAACTTCCTTGCACGCTAAAATAATAAATTTTAATTAATTAATATATGCTATATTAAAAAATTAATGCATTCAAAGGTACAGGTCATCCAACAGACATTTAAATTCACTTTACAAAAATTGATTACAAGAATTAACAACAGAAAAGTAAATATTAATTTTGAATACGCAAAGAAAACTAACTATTGGAAGCATTGGTTAATGTAATGAAGATATTGCTGTTGCATCCACATATGGCTTTGGTAGTGCCATTGATACATATTCATAAAACTTTCGAAGCTAAAAAAATTGAAACCAAATATGAAATCATAAAAATTAACATTACTTAAACAAAACAAAGATAGCTTTTACTAACTAAAAACAAGCTAGGATTTACAATTTCGTCTAACCTCTACTCTCAAGCCAGCTATCAAACTGTATTATATGTCTGCTTATTAATTACAATTCACTCTTCAATATTTTCCAGAAGCATCAACAACACACGCATGATGCATGTAAATACACATGAAACAATGCACCCACACATTTCATGTGATGGGTAGAGATCTCTTTGCAATGGAACATAGTCGCTGCAATATTAGTGCCAGGCGTTTTACCGTTACAACGGCACGCCGCCCATTATGTACATTGATAGACTAGAGTTCTAATCCAGACATATGATGAAAAGGGTAGCATCAAGTTTGATGCTACCCTTTTCAGCATTTTGCTCTCTATCCTTGGACAATTTCTTATCTATGTCTTCTCATCATATAACATCTACATTTCCACAAGTCTCTTATGATCTGTACTTTTTTCAATTAATCATCATCACCATCTCTCACTTCCATCACCATTCTATGTGACAAAAGGTTCTCAACTATCCTTGTCTATTCTATACTGTTCATTATTAAAAACCATCGTTCAAAGTAAGTACAAACTTCTGTATTGATTTGTTAAACTTTCAAAAAGATTTCCATTTAATTATCTAAAATCAGATACTTCCCAGCATTGGTCTAAGAACATTTGATAAGATGAAAATACATTATATATACCTTACACAACCTCAAAACTTGGAACCTCGCTTTATTTAAAATTTCCTAAACTAAAACACTTCTTTCTTTGCCTTTAAACCTATCAACACAACCAGTCAAATAAGAAGGAAATATACCAAAGATTACAAACTCATTAACGGCAGGCACAAATGAAGTAAATGGAGCAGAATCATTCTGGCCCTGATGATCAGCTGAACTGGTGGTGTTGTTTGCAGGTCTGTTTTTATGAACTTCATTACTGCAATTAGTTTCATGCATTGCCTTGTGAGATTCCTCAGGACTCATCATAACAGCATATACAATCTTGTCATTTGCTGACTAAAAACAAAAAATCTATTACTATTCAATATTTTGAGATGGTAATTAAAAAATTTCATTCAAGTTAAATGAAATATTCAAATTAAAATGAAATGATAATAAAATAGTTAAAATGTTGCTATTAAATTACCAAATTATTGAATTAAGGAAAAAAGTGTGATATAATTCAGATAATATGAGCACTAAATTAATAAAAAATTTGACTACTTGATGAAAAGTATTGAAAGGTGTTTGTTGGGGGAAAACAGTAAAAAGCTGAAAATTCAAAAACTGACAAGGTTAAAAATGAATGAAAAGGTCTTCCAATTATCAAGAGTATAAAATGTAAAAAAATCATAAAAAATTAACATAGAACCATTATAAGGGAATGTTAATAGAAAAAAAGTCTGGCATTGTTGTGCACATGTGGGAACTATGTAAGTAAAGACTAAAAAGCATACCAGAAAATCGAAAATTACAAAAAGTTAAAAAATGGATGATGATACAATTAAGAAGAGTTAAGTTGGAAGATATAATGATACAATCATTAAGTTGGAAGTTGAAATGATACAATCATGAAAAGCTGGAAGATGAATAGTGATATAATTAGTTATAGATGTATCCAATGATAGCAAAGAACGGGAGAATAACATGGTTATATTCAATTTGAAGGAATCTGAAAATGCTGGCAAGGATAGAGATGTTGTCATGTTTATTTTGATGTCAATGACAGAGAACAAACTTAATGATGCTGATATTCTGGTAATAACTCGTCAGGGACGTAGACGTGACGGAGTTTTGAGGCCTGTCATCATCAAATTCAGTAATGCTGTATCGAAAATGTTGACGCTGAAGACATCCTTCAGAATTAAGTTGCTTGAAGGTGACTTAAAAAACATTAGGGTAAGTCATGACCTAAGCCCTGAACAGCGTGTTGAATTGAAATCGCTGTTGGATAAAGCCAAGTCTAAAAATGTTGAAGATAATGATTTTTTATACAGGGTCAGAGGCCCTATCGGACGGTGGAAAATAATCAAGTTTCCCAAAGTAGTCACTGTTCAATAATTAAAATGGGTTTGTATAATATGAGGTCTATTGTTAATAAGCTTGGTGTCGTTTATGATTTACTGTCTGATGATCTTGATTTCTTTGTTGTTGTTGAGTCCTGGCACGGTTCTTTAGATCATAATATAATCCAGTTAGCTATGCCGCCTAATTATGTTTATGTTGATCGTTTGAGGCCAAATGATCCCTATCATGGTGGCATTATTGTCTTTCTTAAGTGTTCTTTTGGTTTTAGGAAAATTGAGCTTCCTGTTGTTCAAACATNTGAGGCACTGGCCATTGTTTTTTCATTGAGAAATTCTAAAGTAATTCTGTTGTCCATTTATCGTCCTGGGCCTGAATCTGTCTCTGCGTTGTTCTTTAGTGAATTTACTACAATTATGGAGTATATTTCTGTGTGTGCTGATTTGTTGTTGATAGTAGGTGATTTCAATATACATGTTGAAAGATTGAATGACAGGAATACAGTTTCTTTGTTGGATATTTTTGAATCGTTTCATGTTTGTAATTGTGTTGTTGGTCCTACCCATTCATCTGGTGGTACACTTGATCTTGTTGTTTCGTCTGCTGATTTTCCTTCTTGTGATTGCACAGTTTTTCCTAGTAATGTCCATTCTGACCACAGTTTTATCAGAGTTGATTTTCCGTTTGTTCATCGTCGGACGAGGATTGTTAAACGATTGGTGCGATCATGGAATAGGACTGATAGTAAATTATTTGCCCGTCTTGTTTCCCAGTCTTTTGTTGGTGGTCTTTTTACTGATGGTGATCCAGAGATTGTTTATTCAAAATTCATGTCTAGTATGCAGTCAATAATTGATGTTGTTGCCCCGTTGCATTATGTTAAAACCAATAGCTCCCATAATTCTCCTTGGTTTGATGATCAGTGCAGAATATGCAAAAGATTGTGTCGTAAACTTGAACGTGTTTATCGTCATATCCCGAGTGAGGCTAATAAAATTGCTTGGAGAAATGCACTAATGAACAAAAGTTCTCTTTTCTCGGACAAAAGGAATTTGTATTGGAAAAATTTGATACAGATGAATAAGTCCAGGCCTAAATTATTGTGGAACATGGTGAGTAAATTGTTTGGTAAATTCTCGGATAGCCATAGTTTGAGTGAATCAATTAATTTTACGCCATCTGATTTTGCTTCTTTTTTCAAGGATAAGATTAAGAGGGTGATGGACTTAACAGCTTCCTCGATTGCACCAGTCTTTTCTCATTGTAGGTTTCGGTCTGATGAGTTGTTCTCTGCGTTTTCTTTGTGCTCGGGTGACGAAATTAAAAAAATTGTTTTAGGATCTCCAACAAAATCCTTTTCAAATGATTTTATTCCGACTCAAGTTTTTAAATCATATATCGACTTGTTTATTCCATTCTTGACATTTTTTGTTAACTTGTGCTTAAGAACTGGTTGTTTTCCTAATCCTCTGAAACACGCTGTTGTAACTCCTATATTAAAAAAGTCATCCCTTGATAAAAGTGATATTTCTAATTTCCGTCCAATATCCAATCTGTTGTTTTTGTCTAAGGTTCTTGAACGTATTGTTTTGGGGCAATTCTTAAGTCATCTGAATAGACATAATTTGATGCCTGTTCACCAATCGGGCTATAGGCAGAACCATTCAACTGAGACGGTTTTAATTGATGTTACGTCTACATTATTTGCAGCTATGAATCAACACAAAGTTTCATTGTTGGCTTTATTGGACATGAGTGCTGCCTTTGATTGCGTTGATCACACCTTGTTGATTGATAAATTGAAATACTTTTTTGGTGTCTCTCATGTAGTAGCCTCATGGTTTGAATCATACTTGATTGGAAGGACTCAGCAAGTTTTCTTTAACAACGGGTTGTCAGATGTTGAGATAGTCACGTCTGGAGTTCCTCAGGGCTCAGTCCTTGGGCCTTTGTTGTTTTTACTTTATACGGCTGATATGTTCCCAATTATTGAGGAATTTAATTTCAAGTATCATGCGTTTGCTGACGATGTGCAAATAATTGTTCCGATTGCATGTAATACAACGTTTGAAGATGAAGTTGATAGATTTGTATGTTGCATCGAAAAACTCAATGGGTGGATGATAGATAACAGATTGAAGATGAATGAAGGTAAAACTCAACTACTTTTGATTGGTACCTGGCAACAGCTGAAGAAAATTGATGTTAAGTCCATCAACATATCTGGGTCGGATGTTAATTTTTGTTTCTCCGTTGGTGACTTGGGGATCGTATTGGATTAAAATATGTCAATGAATTTTCATGCCAAAAAGCTTAGTAAAGAGTGCTCATTTCAGCTTAGAAGGCTTAATCAAGTTAAAAACTCATTAGATAATAACACATTGAAATGTTTGGTTCATGCATTTGTTCATTCAAAGTTGGACTACTGTAACAGTGTTTTCTATGGAGTATCACACAGTACATTGTCTTCTCTACAGTCAATTCAGAACAGAGCGGCCAGGATTGTTAGTGGCCGTTTGAAGTTTGATCACATTAGTCAAACGCTGTTGGATCTTCATTGGCTTAATGTTAGGAAAAGAATCTTATACAAAATTTCCATCATGGTGTTCAAATGCCTGGAATGGTCTCAGTCCAAGTTACCTGTCTGAAATGATAATACGTAGAGTTAGATCTCATCCGTCAATCAAGTTGCGTTTAGATGATCAAGATTTATTGATGGTGCCGAAAACAAAGTTGGCTGTTGCTGATAGAAGTTTTGCAGTTGCTGGTCCTTCGATCTGGAATAATTTGCCCTATCACCTGCGTCGGCCGGGATTGACTCTTCAACAGTTTCGCAAGGAATTGAAAACTCATATCTTCTTGGATTGATTCGCACAAATCATGGAGCGCCTTTGGGTGACTATAAAAGACGCTCTACAAGTTCTCTAATAATAATAATAATAATAATAATAATAATAATAATAATAATAATTATAATAATAATTATAAAAAGTTGGAAGGTGAATGTGGTGATACAAATACAACAGGAAACTAAAAAAAAATTACATTAACAAATATGGATCCAACAATTTCTTCATCTGAAAGCAATTTTCTACAGTGTATTAATTTTAAACTGTCAGCTCTCTGAAATAAATTTTAAATAAATTATAAGCATTAATAATTAAAAATTATTTCCATGCAAGAACATTTATGTAATTGCTCTTTATGATTGTCTGAAAATATTGTAGAAGCACTAAGCATAGATTAAATTATTTTACTAACAGTTTGTCATTTTATATGTAATAAAGCAATTGATAAAAGAATCAGTCAAATTAATTTTTACATAGATTATGTTCCTGCTAAAATCCCGATATTTTGCTTATAGCAGTTGTGAATCAATGTAAGTTTTATTTGTGACTTATAAAGTTATGGGTTTTGTTCAAAAAACCTTTTTATTAAAATTCCCATAAAATTTTTTTAATGAAATCACCAAATTGTGATTATTTATAATACTGGCAACATAAAATGATTCATTTGTGTACAATTATATTTTATTTAAACTTACCACGACAAATGAAACAAATATTTTATGTTTATGATGCAGACATATTTTTGGTTTACTTTATTATATAATGTAATTGTAGAGCAATAAAATAAACGCCGAACCTAGCGACACGGCGGCCGTTTCCGAACGTTAAAAAATTATAGAAACGGCGGCCGTTTCCGAACGTTAAAAAATTATAGAAACGGCGGCCGTTTCCGAATGTTAAAAAATTATAGAAAGGGCGGCCGTTTTCAAATGTTAAAAAATTATAGAAATGGCGGCCATTTTTAAATGTTAAAAAGTTTTATAGACACGGCGGCCTTACGCAAAAAATTGTGGTCACGGCGGCCGTTTTTCAATAAAGTTCGCTCACCTTACGTGGAGGTACATGGTATGCTCCAAAAATCATCTAATTAAATTGCATTTTTTAATCATAAATAAATGAATGTTTTCTATAAATATTCGCTTCTAGTGAATCTAATTGATTTTGAATGTTTTTTTATGTGTTATAATTACAGGTTGCTTTTTTTACAGATTACATATTTATTATATTATATCTGTACTGCTTATTTGTTTTAATTATAATTTCTAAATTTTTTTATAGCACATTTAAGAAAATACATAAATTGTTAGAAATGTCACTTATCCGATTAATTTTAAATACAACTTTGAATTGCCGGATGAGTTTTTAAACTTTCAAAACGTATTAGGCGAATTGTATTTATTTAACATTGAAAGGAATTACGACGACAAAATACTAATATATACACTAATCTACAATATATCCAATAATATACAGTCATACATAAAATGTTTTATTATATTGTTCAGCTATTATTTCCTGCATGCTTTACAAAACCATTCTTTTCTACTTGGAGGCCTTTTGATGCCTGCACAAGAAAAGTGGAACCACTTGAGATAGGAATCACAGGAAACACTTCGAACATCCCTAAGATCATTGCTACAGGTTCCACACATCCATTCTTCATTGCAACATTTATTAATCATTTCTTTCAAAACGTTTAGATCTAAAAAATCTTTCAATAAATATAGACATTCTTGTACTTGTCCATCTAAGAACTGACTTGGTACTGATTGAATATTGCTAATATTATAATCTTGTCCACTACCAAATAACCATTGTAACATCAGTTTTTGCTTTTCTCTTGTTGGCTTCGAAGCAAAAGATATAGATTTGCAATGTTTTGAAGGCATGCCTAAACAGGTTAGTGTTGCTCCTTTTGGTCGACCTCTTGATTTAAAAGCTCGGGGAAAAAGAAGCTCTGAACATGGCAATGATGATGATTCTGTTGCTCCTTGTATTTTTTGAAAAATTGATAAGACCTTATCAACTTGGTTTTTCGATTTGTTTTTTTCTCTCATTGACGTTTTTATGTTTTGGACATCAGCACTTGTCACAACTTTTCCAGATACCTGCGAAAGATACTCTTTCACCTTAGTGGGATTGGCTCCCATACCGATCATCAACTCAGCTTGTTGTTTCTCTTCCTGGCATAATTTTCTTTGCTGGGATGTGTGTTGAAAAGTCTCTGGAACTATTACATGATTATCATTTATGATTGATCTTACAACTAATTTATCACCATTCTTATTTGCTCCAAGAACTATTTTTGCTGGAAAATCACGTTTGATGGTACTGAAAAATAAATTATAACATTTACCATTACTTATATGAAAAAAAAAATTCAAAAATGAAAATACTTTTGATTAGGCCTTTTACCCGATCCTTTGCTTTTATAAGAGCCATAGTGTTGACAACCCAGCTTAATTTAGGAATACATCAGATCATCACTGAAGTATAAATAAAGGTAAGATTGTAAATAAAATATATATGATATAATTATAATAATAATATGATCTAATAATAATCTTTCACAAAACATGAGAGGTTAGATACTATAAATAAGCAATGAGTACAGTGTGGTCATAATCTTTTTTAGTTCCTTATCCTGTAATTATTTACCAACAATTTGTCATTACTTGGTTTCAACAAACTAAACAAAACCTTTGTGCCAAAAACTACAACTCAGCACTACACAAAAAGCATTAGATTTTTTACAATTATAAGCACACACGTGGCATATGGCAGTTTTACTCAAACTGATTTTCATTGTGTAATAGATAATACAATTAGTGCTAATTTAGTGACAAAGATATGTTGTGATAAAAAAGTGTGCTAATTACAAAATCAACCAGTTACGAATTATGACAATTTTTAACAAAATTATTAAAATAATTATCATAAGTAATCATAAATTGCTCACCTGAATGTTTTATTGGGTTGCTTCTTTCGTGCTCTTTCCACCGTTGTTGAATCAGCAACAGTATAATTAACAAATGATTCTTTTTCATATTCAGATAATTTTTTCTTAAAATCTATAAAACTAACAAATTCTTCTCCTTCAACAAGCGACATAATAAACAAAGTAACAAAAAAATTTGCATCAAAATTACTAAATTACTAAAACACTTAAAAATCTCAACACGGAGCACGAGGAGCAACAATGGAGAACGAAAACCAAAGATACTCTATATATTGCGTCACAAAATTACGTAGTAAAAGTTGGTTACGAAGCGTATGTTTAAAAAACTTATGTTAAAAAAATAAATTTGTCACTATATCTAAAGAAAATATAAATATGAAATAAATATATTTTGATTTTTCTTGCCATTTTTCAAATTTTTAGCAGGCTAAAAATTTATATAACCGGTCGCCGTGTCTGTAATATTTTTATGTTCAGAAACGGCGGCTGGGTCTATAGTTACTGTGTAAAATAAAAGTAACAGAGAAAGTGAATTGATTCATTAGTTTTGTACCTTAGTGTCTTTTATTTTATTATACTTCCACTCTAAATTAAATTTAGATTTAAATTAATTACAAGTGTGAAAAATATTAAAAGTTCTGTTTCCATCCTTAAACTTTTGTTTAATTTTATAACATTTAATAATATAAAATACTTCTCTATATTTATGATTTTATTTATAATTATAAAAAACAGAATAAATATTATTAATTATATTATGATTATAAATATATTATAATTAAATGTGAAATACAAAACTAAATAAATTAAAAATTTTTTAAAATCAAGAAGAGTTGACACTGACAGCCTCTTACATTTTTTAATCTTTTTACTTAAAAACGACTTGATTTTTTAAAGTTTAAGACAAGTTCAATTTAAAGTGCAAAACTAAATTTTATAATTAAAATAAAATTAAATAAAATTTTAAATATTAAAATTAAATTTAAAAGTTAAATAAAAAAACTACCAACTGAAACATTTTTCAAGAGATTGGTAGCAACGTGGCGCTTCAATTTTTCTACGGTCCACGAGGAGGAGCAGTTGATAATTTCTTCTTTAAATTTTAAATTAGGAGATCTCAAGACAATGGGAACGACCGACTCCATAGTTAGTTTTGTTTTAATCTCCACGAAACAATCCAAAACAACCAGCTTGGTGAAGTTGGCAACGCTAAATAACAGCAGCCTCAAATGATAGCAATCTGACGACAAATTAACACGTAAATATATTGACTCATCACAGTTAGTCTAGCGCTTTACACTTCATCTTATCTTGTTTTAGACTTAGATGTATATTAAAATTAGATTAGATTAGGTTCTAGATGGAGAGTAAACTATTTAAAACACACCAAGGATAGACCGATTATACCACCCACTTACAATAATAGATTGAGATATATGACACTACCATTGAATTACACACAGAGTAGTTAGTGGCTCTACTCCTAGGAGTGGAAAGTTTGTCATTACGCTTTACCGTGGATGTGGCAGGGCAGGCATATAACATCCAGAGGTTCCCTCCGCTCATTATATAAAATGTATATCGTTAATCTGCTCAGCTCTAACTTTTTGCAAATTTTTCAGTAAAAAATTTGTTAGTGCAGTACCAATATAAAATACCTAAATGCATATTGTTGTAACGAAAACTTGAAACCTTAAAAATTTGGGCTTACTTTATTGCCATACTCTTGTGTTTTCCCAGTTATATATTTCAGTTTTTAATTTCTTTTATCTTTTTTCCAAATATCTCAAAAACGCAATATGACCTCATCACAATAAAATAAAACATTCATCCCTAGGCCTTCGCAATCTATCACCAGTTCTATCACTAAATAGCTAGCTGCACACTTAACAAAATTTCTCTTTTCACAAAGATGGTTCATTTGTACTTTTATTGATTATTTCCCTCTGAATCATTTTTCTTCTCCTCTCCTCCAATAATGCCCAATAATTTTATTTTTTCTGATTTTTCAGTAGATTTATTTTATTATTTGCAATATTATTTTAACAATTTAATTTTTTTGTTTATTATTTTTAGTTTAATCCAGGTCTCCTCTGCACAATCAACGTAAAATTTTCAACTTTTAAAGATAGATTGAAAAAAAACTATTATATATTTTTATTTTTAATTATCCACCCATTTATGTTCTTTTATGTTATTAAAATATTAATCTTAATTTATTGGATTAATTATTTCACTCATCTTTTTAATTTTGTAATGTCATACCTTAGATTTAATTTCAATGTCATTTCATTATTTCTGATTTGTTTCATTTGATTTAGTTGAGGTGTGTTTAGTTAATAAAACTCGCTACATCGTTACAACACGCCTTTCCTTATTTTATTACTAAGAGTTTTATTGCAACAATCGGCGATCCCTGCTTAGAAGAATAAAGGATAAAAAATGTGACGAACTCATCAAAACTGACGCAAATGACTTCGAAAGAAAGAAACAGGTGCATGATGCCGCTGCGACTCCTCGCTTTTAGCACCAAGTTCTCAGAGGCGTGGTTTACATACTTAGAATTTAAATTTTGTTATTAGTAATAGCACATCGCTAATTTTTTCTTGCTTCTCTGGCAAGTTTTTTATGCTCAGCTCCACTGATTTGTTTTTGTCGTTCATGATTTGGAAACTGAAAACGACGCTATTCAAAAAGTACGAAAAATTCTGCTTTCCAAACACTGATAAAAGATACCACTGTGACATCAATAGCTAAATTCATTAAAAAAATAAAGAACTTTTGCTTCCTATGAACACACGCAGACAACAGATAAATTTTGTAATCATTCCATGGTCATTAAAGACACTATAAATTATTGATACTAAATTCAAAATGCATGCAAAAAATCAAGCTGTAAAAAATATTTTTTGATTCCGACTTACAAAAAACGTTTAAACTTGAAAGAAGTGAAAGGGTTTCATCTACCTTTAAATGAACAAAGAGAGAAAGACAAATTGTTGATAATAGAAAAAAAACTTACATCTATTATTATTCATATAGTTATTGTTTGTGGAAGACAAGATTGGCCATTAACTGGTCATAATGGTTCATCAACCTATAACATTAATGATAGCCATATAAAACAAGAAGGAAATTTCAGAGCTCTATTACGTTGTAGAGTAAATGCTGCAGACAAAAAATATTGGAGAACCATTTGGTAACATCTAGTAAAAATTCTACATATACTAGTCCAGATATATAAAATTAAATTACCAGCAGTAACACAGTTATATTAAAAAATTTGTTAGACAAATAAAAAATGCAAAATGCTTTGCAGTTTTGGCAGATGAAACTGGTATCAGTTTGATTGAGCAGCTTTCTATATACAAAAATACTTTGGTGGCATTATTAAAAATAAAAAATTATTACAAACTACTTCGGTTATTGGTACAACATTTTAAAATTCTCCATAACTATTGGGGTCAAGTCTCTGATGCAAATCTTTACAATAAAGACTTTATTCCATTCAAAACAAGTATGGAAAAAATTCACAGTTAATATTGCTAGTTCAATTTTTAATAGAGTATTGTTATCTATAGGCCTTTGATAAAGTTTTAAGTGCTAGTTTTAGTAAAAATATTATTAAATTGATGATAACAGCAAACGCATAGGAGCTTTCATACGTGAAATTATATTAATATATAGGTACATAGGACATACATGTATGTACATTACGCGTATATCAACGCATACACATTCTTGCTTACATACTGATACCTAACAATTTTTTGAAGTACATACGCCGAGTTACTATTCCAAGTTCATGTAGTATACGCAGCAAATTATATCATCGAAAAAAAAAGTGAACATACAAAAGTACTTATTATACGCTGGTTTCATATGCCAAGCATGCTAAGCGTGTGTGCGTATATTTTTGTTTCTAATGGTTGTACGCTTGCCCGGTGGTTCATAGGCGCGACGCATGTATGATTTCAAGCAACGCCTAGCGTATGAGCCGTGTTGTTGTTCTACGTCTGTAAGGAAATATTTCCAGTGTGACCAAAGTGTACAATTTTAATTTTGTCATTTCAATGATCTTTTTGGGATTATTTCTGACTATAAATTTCATGAAATTTCGTAAGTTAACATTTTAAAATATTTTTTTACAACCTTTAAAATATAATTTATAAAGCAACAAATACTTTTGAACATGGGCATGCTTTTTAATTATTATTTTATTTTTGTTGCTTACCAATGTATACTTCCGAAAACATATATTGGATGCTGCCAATAGTTACGATGAAGCGTGCAACAAATATTGTAACTTTCTTGGTAAAATTCGACTGAAATTTTGCACAACGATGATGTTAATATTCGTGACTTAACAATGGTTGTTGTTGGCATTGTAAAATTAGAGGCAAATAACATTTTATATTTTATTCTTATGATAACAACTACAGGCAAAAAAATAAATCGCTATGTCCAACTCTCCAAAAATTATATATAATTACATGATATGATATATATATATTATAATTATATATATATATATATCACCTAAATATACACAAGTAAACAGATGTATATATAGATATACATATATATATATATATATATATATATATATATATATATATATAGACAATTAACACTTTCAAAAGTTAAAACTAAAAATAAAACTCAGAGTGTTTTAAATAAAAGAACTCGAACATGATGCCAGAAATAACGACTTCAGGCTAAAACCAACGACCATCTTATCATCAGATTTGTTATTTAGCCACTAATGCAAATTTTTTGTAAAGTGCTCTTTTGAAGAATTCATAAAAATTTGATGCACACATAACAAATTTGGTTACCGCTGCCAGAGCTGCCCACTTATTAAAATTATTGAGTGAGGGACAAGATTACTTTTACAGACTTTAACAAAATTTTGTTTGTGAAGTGCTTGTGTTTAGTTTGAAGTAAATTCGCATAGATTGTTTGGTTTTGTAAAAGTATGACAATGACTTAAAATTTTATTCATTATAGTATTAATGGCAAGTTTGTTTTTTTTTTTTTACAAATATTTCATGTAAAAAGATTTTTTAGTTTTTTTTTAATTCATAAATAAGTCCATTCCATTAGTCAAATCTTTATGAAAATAAAGAATCAATATGAAATTGAGTCGCTTTTGTACAGTTTTTAACCTCCCAGGTTCGCTCAGCTGCGGCAGAAGACTAAAGAATGGTTACGTTTAACAATTTTTCTAGATGTTCAACATATATAACTTTATTCTTTAAGTATGGAAGTAAGAATAGTTAAAACGACTGTTTATATCTGGAAATTTTCAATGGTTTTAAGGGTTAGCAATGCACCGAATGCACCAATATTTACAAACTGTCACATACAAATAAACTTTCGTACATTCATACATAAACTATAATTAATATTTATATAGGATATGTACATATATATATATATATATATATATATATATATATATATATATATATATATATATATATATATATATATGTACATGCATACACCTTCGTTATTTCGACATAAAAACTAATCATACATCAGGAAATTAATGGATATATTGAAAAAAAATCGGAAAATTATTAACTACTTCTATTGGGCATATATTGTGTGACTGTGAAATTTATCAGGACATCATTTAGCACGATTTTCTTGATAGGTACTGAAAAACTTATTCCTGATATCAAGATCAAGGGACGGATCTAAACAATGTTGACGGGGCGACGTAAATGTTAACAATGTTGAAATTTCTCGGAGGGGCCAAAAGCCACCAAAGTTGTCTCTGAGGCCAAAATTAGGTTGACGACATTTTTTGTTTAACACGCCAATTTTTGGTCAATTATGCCAATTTTTATAAATTTTAGACTTAAAATTTACATTTGTTTGTAAAAATTGTGTTCCAATGAAGATATGCTCTCAATGTTCCAATGGGCCATCCCCGGCCCCCTAGATCTGCCTTTTTTTTAGATCGGCAATAATAACAACGCCTTTTTGGAGTTTTTTAAGTTAATTTAATTAAACTAGTCTAATAACCTAACATCTACTATTTCTGAGGCGTTACTAAAGGATCTTTTGTACAAGCATGCACCATCAAATGCCATTGCATTTGCTGTTGTATGTACAATCGTATGGCGAGTAAACTGACATGAGTGGGAGGTTGGAGAGCAGATGTTTCCATGTGTGGATAGCTGTGCGTATGCGCGTACTTATATGCAGAGAAGACTCGCCAACAGTCACCTTCCATGAATACACATGTAAGTATATTGTACATGTACATACATATGAAGAAAGTAACCACGAATTCTGGAGTGTGTGTATAGAAAAAAGTAATGTATCTAAAACGAATGATATGTCATATTTATTATCAGATGTTTTTTACGAGCCGGTTATTTTGTGCCGATAATGTTGCGTTGAAACTTTTTTTTATTTCTACGATAAAAGTTAAAAATAATATTATGGTGAGCAATTTTCTAGACAATTAAAAGGATTTTATTTCAATATACTTATTTAAATTTTTGTTCTCTTTTATTAAATTAAATTTTTATTTGTTAGTTTCAATAATAATTGAGTAGGTAATATAGAGGGTGAGATGGGGACGGCCAGAAATGTTCTATTAGTTTAACAAATCTTGTCGCCAATGTTGTCATCATTTATAATTTTAATTATAGTGGTCAATAAAACTTTATAAGTATAAAACAAACTATAACAATTTTACCACATAATAAGAATCCGATTTTTGCAAAATTATTGACCTATGGTACATGTACATAACCGTACAAAAAACACTATACTGCCACCTAATCCTGAACATAGGAACTTTTTAAATAATTACCAAATTTTTTTGTACGTAGGATTGAATAAAAGACTCAATTTTTTGATTTATGATTGAAGAAAAATTTGAAAAAATTATTTTCACGAGAATATGTTTTTTATGTGAATTCATAATTTGTTGAAATTATTCTTAAACATTATCCGTTTTTTAAGGCATTTACGTGTGTGTAGTTTTATAATTTAAATCACTTTGTTTTTACTACTATTTTTGATAAGGCTTTTTTTGCAAATTTATCATAATAAAGCTAGAGATATTATTATTGTAAATTATTTTTAACTTAAATAAATTAATTTAATTCATTTGTGTTATATTTTCACAGGCTCCTTCATCGCAATGGAAAACAATTTACAGAGGTGTTTTCTCCAACAAATATAAGTGTGGATTAAAAACTCTACTTAAAAATGATAATAGATAAGATTTAGATAATTCATGATGACAACTGCAAAATAACTTGAATAATGAGTATACCAACAAAAATCACAATTGTCGTATTCTTCGGAGGCATCGTAGCCGGGATCGTCATCGTTATTTTTGTAATCATTTGTTGCAGGTTAAGACACAAAAGACTTATACTTAAAAAGTGGGCATATTTCTTTTTGTTTTCATTTATTTTATAATTAAAATGCTTTATTCATAAACGAGACAAAGTTAAAAAGTGGATAAAACAAAGTCCACATTATGGATCTGTTTTAGTGACAAATATAAATCTGCCGGTAGATGGATTGTTATCAATCTTATACATTCAAATTAAAATCATGCGCTCGCTTTCAAATGAATAGGCTTTAAATTTTCAACTACATGCATATTTAACGTTATAAAAAATGAGGTGGCTTTAATGTTTTACACAAAACGTACATCTTTATATAATAACCATAACAAAACATAAACCAATAAAAACAAGGCAAACCGCAAAATGAAAAATTGCATTTACATGATGATACGTTTGGTTGCAGCTCTTTCATTTGCATCAAAACTTTCAGCTTACAATAAATTTATCAACTTTTTTTATCAAATTTTATTTTTGTAATTTTGGTGGATGCGTGATGATGAAAACCGATCCATTTTTCTTACCACCTTGTCATACAGAATACCACTGTTTTTGAAGACTATCAGAATACCAGAATTTTTTAAGGATATCATATTATTTGAATACAACAAACTAGAACTCATGTGTTAAACTTTTTAAAAAATTTTCAAAGCAAATTGGTTGCGGAAACGATTTTTTTTCATTAAGTATATCAAACTCCGTTAAACGCAGAAAATGTAACAAACAATTGTATGAATCAATTGAAAATAAGAATTATGAATATAAAAAGTACTATTACATTATTAGGTAGAAGTAAAATAATATAAATTTTTATTATAAATAAATGTCAGTGACATTAAGTCGAAATAAAATAAAGTTTTAACAGAAAAGTATTCGAAAAAAAACAAAATTATAAGACAAAAAAATAAGTCATAAAATAAGTCTGTAACAAAGCCAAAGGTTATGAATGCAAATGAAGCCGGAGAAAATGTCACACTCATGTGTAATGTTTGCTAGCGTTAAAAAGTTGAATGACGTGAGAACTAAAATCTAGAAGCCAGTAAATATTAACACAAAATATTTCCAGCCACTACATTTAAAATTTTCACACAGACGAACAATTTTTGTAAAGTTTATTTATATATTGCAAATAAAATTTTTTATAAAATTGTTTTGTAAAATTTGTTGGTTAATAACAGTAAACTCAACCCCTGACAATCCGACCAAATGGCTGACAAATTAAACGGAAAGTTATGTAAGTCGTATCGTGCAAATTAAATAAATTACACCAACGTTTCCAATAAGATCTTTTAAATTATTTAATCAATCAAACTATAAACACAATGAAAATACTTATGAAATTCGACCGATTGAATTAAATTTTTGGCGCAAATTTCAGCGAAATGAATAACCATCAAGTTATTGATAGGAACTGGTAGGTAGATCATTTTTCGTACGCATAGTACAATCTTCTAATGTATTTTTATAAAAAAAAATTTAGGTTGATTTTTGAGTTTTATGAAAACTTTTGATTTTTGTGTGGGTATCTTTGTTTGCAGCAGATGGATTCATTAAATATTGTTTATATAAAGCAAAATAACTTTCTCTGCTATAACAATCATTTTCGCAGGCAAACTGGAAGAGAACTTCAACAAGAAAAAAATCCAAATGTTCGAATAATAATGATAGAAAACGTCGATGATAACGGCACAAAAAAAAGTCAACCGTTAGTTTTAATTCTAATTTATTTCACTCACACACAACCAGAGAACACAATCAAACCACATACATACCGCGCGCGCACAAACAATTTATTACGAACACACTTAATGAATAGATAGTAATAACTTAAAATTGTTCGTTTATATTTTAACCAATTTTTTATTGTCGTTGAATGAAAAGTCCTTATTGATATAGTATTTCAGATAATTACTTGAAAATGCGCTTTTTCGAAATGGCGTCACGGGCAATTGCCCAAGTTACCTACCTTCATGCTACTCCACTGATGTTGTTATCCCACCTCGCTGCTGGTCGCAAAAAATTCTGGCAAGCTGTAAGGTTTTCTAAGGTCATTAACTTTTGTCAATTTAGTTGTCAGCTTAGTTTTCAATTTGGTCGTGAACTTGGTTGTCGGCTTGGTTTTTAGGTTAGTTGTAAATTTGGTTGTCAACTGGAATGCATCATTGGTTGTCCGCTTATTTTGCCAGTTTGTTTGGTGATTGAACTTTAAATTTTCATAGTCTGAACAAAAAAAAAACAAAAAAGAAAATAAAAGTTTGACTTAAACCAATCGGAAACAGCTGCCCATTTTGCAAATTAAAATTCCTACTTAAAATCTAAAAAAAACGTTCAAACAAAAATTTGTATTTTTTATTGATATTTATTGTTGATTGAATCAAAATTTTTGTAAAAAATATAATTCCCGATTATAATATAAACACATTTGTAATATAATATCAGTGCATTTATAAAAAGTATTCATATTTTATTTTTATTTTAGGAAATTGATAGATGTGCTTGAAGGAAATATGTCGATGTCGTCTTCCATGAATTTTAGTGATGTGCCGATTATGGATTCTCTGAAAAAGATCATCGATAAGGATGAAAGTATATCGATAAGCGACGTTTCAGAATATACACCAATGATGGATATTCAGTACTCGTCAAGAAAAAACAGATTGAATCACTTCATCCGTGTTCAATTAGAACCGCTCAGCAATAAAACGTTTAATTTTTATTCACGGTATAAAAACTCAAAAGAAAACATATCAACTCAATTTCAAGAAATAAATATTGCACCAAAACCTCTACTTGTCAAATCAATTGAAGAATCTTTTTCTGAAAATAAAAATACAGTTGAAGACAAATATCCGTATGTTGTGAATTTATTTCAAACTACAACAAAATCCTCTTCAGCAATAAATAACCAAAATGTTGTAATACAAGTGCACGAAGAAGATGAATCAAAACCACTTAAAATTTCAAAAACTGAAAAAAGCAACAATAAAGAATTGAAAGCCTCTCCTGTGCAACTTAAAAAGTTACGCCATTCTTTTTCCTATCCTAGCTCGTCAATGAAATACCATAGCGCAATAATCAACAAACCTTTTAAAAGTTTACCAAATTGTAATTTAAGTTATATACGACCTTATTCTAATGCTAAAAGAGGTGGCTTGACTCCTGCTTTTCGAACACCGCAAGCCATTATATCAACAGATAACAGAGGAAATGATCAACAAGCCAGAAGAAACAGTTTCAGAAAAAAGTTGCATAACTTGAAAAAATATGCAGATGAGTCTATAGTGATTGAATGTTCTAACAATTTATCGCTCGTTCCACAGCAATTAAATCTGAACCAAAGGGATGATTTCAAAACAGTTTATTCGGTTGCTTCAGTTGTTCCAGAACAATCTTCGTCGATAAATGTTGACAACAATATTAAACTTAAAAATTTTTCAGTTAAATCAGCTGAAACACCAGAAATAATAAGAACAACAATATCAACAACATCAACTACTTCAACAACAGTCGGCAATATAACAAATTTAACGTCAACCGCATCCCAAGAATTATCTAAAGAATTATGGCAATTAAGGGCATTGTTAGCAAATAATGTTGATGATTTAGATTCAGAAGAATCTATTCCAGCAACACCTTTCAATTTAGAAAATGTAAACAACACATCCTCGTTAATAACAATGACAAACACAGAAGATTCTCCATTCCATTCATTTATTACATCTAGTTGTAATAGTTCATTACTAGAATCTTTTCATTCTATTGAAGATACATTAGACTTTGAAAATTTACAAAATTTATCGGCAAACATTGATAAAAATGAATTGGCTTTGAAATTATTATCTAAAGGGATAAATGATTCAAACACGTTGAAATTTTGCAAAGAGTTAATTGCAAAATTTGCTTCGTCTACGTTGAGTCAGCCAACTGAAACTTCAACAAAAGATAATTGTGAAGAAGTTTTAGATATAAGTCACAAAGATTCTAAAAAGGAAACAGTACAAAATCAAAAGATATCGCAGTCAGAACAAGAAGAATTGAATTTAGTCAGAAAACCGAGTGTAAGAAGACAAACATACAGAAATGCCATTGCTCGTCGTCAAGCAAAGGAAGAGCGGCTTCAACAAAAATCTGAAATAAAAATGGAACCAAAAAATGAAAAAAATGAATTAAATGCAAATACCACACAAAAATTAAATTTAACGACGGGGAGTGAAACAAGCCAGGACACAGAGAGCAGTATTTCTTTCGAACGATTTTTAGCTACTGGTGGAAGTTGTAGTACAACTGCTGCATCGTTGTCCTGTGATGACAGCAACGCTAGTACTGATAGTACCGGCGAGTCTCATCTGTACAAATTGGAAAAACTAAGAGGAGATAGCGGATATAAATCACTTGAGAATCAACAATCTCTGAACATGAGGTATGATTACAGATCAACGTTAAACTTTGTTCCACAAGAGAGTAACATTATTAGTGAAGATGAATTGATGATGTCTCCAATCGTCACTGGCGCGTCAAGTTCAATTCCAGTATTAACAAGAAGAGTTCATTCTGCCGATGAAAATTTAGTCAGGACAAATTCGATAATTCCCAATGTTGAGTTGATTGCTCCATCTGTTCCACAAAGTTCGGTAGCAGTCAATAAATCATCAACCAATTTGAGTTTGTTCACCAAAATGTCTCAACAAGTTTTATTATCTAGAAACAAAGCTGCTGAAAAAAAACGGATTCAATACAAATGTGATCGACAACTAATTAAAATTCAAGATAGTTTTATTGATGCTGGATTTAAAAACGTAAAAGTGACTACAACATCATCCCAATGTGTAGCTCCTAAACCACCTTTTTATAGCAGTGGATCTATAAATTTATCAAATTCGTCATTTGCATCTTCTTTTATTTCAAGATTTTTAAAGTCGCATTCCCGAAGATCGCTTGTAAGGATGCAAAGGGATTACAGCATTGACGAAAGGACTGATGCTCTTTTCAATGAATTTTTACGATTCGATCCAGCGTTAGAAATAAAGCATACCTTGTGCGTTACAAGAAGACCATCACCGAGAACACGCCACCATGCACATTATACAAATCGACACAAATCAACCGAACATAGATCTTCAACTTCTCCATCAAAACTTACTTCGTTTTTGGCCACCAACGACTCTCCTGCTGAAATGAAAATAAAGCGACACGATCGAAGGCAGTATAAATTTTCAACCACGGACAAGATTGCCGATATTAATTTATCATCAAAATATGTTGAAACGCAGAGTTATAAACGTTTTCAAAATTTTAATACTTTTGACAAAGATAATTCACAAAAATTAAATGAGTTAGAGCCAATTGTTAGTAACATTAAAACGGATCAAGACAACGATGTAAACAAAGAAGGTATGAAATCATTGATATCACCAAAAACTCTTCCTAAAGTTTCAACAAACACGACCAATCACCCAACAAATAATGCCACTGATGTCGTAAATCGAATGGATAGATCCACTGGTCAAATAGATGCCAAACGAAATATTCCAGTTATTCAACTAACAGAAGAAGAATAAATTACTCTCCAGAAGTCTTTTATATTCATACAGTGAAAAAACCAGGAGAATGCGTGGATGCATTCTTCATCAAACAATGGAAGAAAAAATAATAAAGGTTTTGTGTAAAAAAGGTTAACTTATAATTTTGAAAATTATACCCGAACCAAAACGGAAATTATCAAAAAAAAAAATGTCAAAATAACCACGCGTCGCAAAATTCTGTACATATATGTGTGTATATGATTAAATTCATAATATATATATTTAAATTCAATTTGATTTAAATATATACGGTATTGTATGAATTTACCAAATTGTTGGCACTAATCGATTTAAAGTTCGTCTTTTCATTTTTTTTTTATTTTTTGGAAATAGTTCAATTTATTGAAAATAGAATTTTTATCCAAGTTCATCATGAAAATGTAATAAAACTGTTGTTAGCCAAATTCATCATGCAGATAGGCCTTATTTTGATTTTTCATAAATCATCTTCAGGGCATGTATGATTTATATAGTTTCTTTAAACAAAGCAAAGTTAGTTCTTTAGCTTAGTGATGTCATTTTTCATTTTTTATTTTTTTTGTTCTTCATTGTTATTGAAGTTAGTATTTAGGCGTCAAGTTGGTAATGATGCAATTATTCTTTGTTGGATGTTTATTTGGGGTTTATTGATATTTATTATGACACAATTGATATCATTTATTTTAATACATTTTCATGATGACCTTGGATAAGAATTCTTTTTTCAATAAACTGAACAAATTCCTGAAAATTCTAGTAAAAAAAAATTGAAAAGACAAACTTTAAATTGATTAATGCCAGCAATTCGGTATAACTCATACAATACTATATACAATATGGTCTTCTTCCATATATATATATATATATATATATATATATATATATATATATATATATATATATATATATATATATATGATTAAGACTGTCAGAAATGTAATTATTGTTGAAAATCACACGAACTTAAGACAGAAAGAGCTCTAACGCAGAACATGCTGTGATTTATATATATATATATATATATATATATATATATATATATATATATTTATATATATATATATATATATATTTGTATACATTGTCAAATTATATTACAAACATATCAGTGTTCATTTATGACAAAACTTTCATTTTAATATTTAAGCAGATTCGCGCGTATAGTTAACCTAAAATTAGGCAATTATCTTTTATGCTAATATAATTTTTACAAACAGTTTTTCACGTGAATAAGGCACAATTTTTAATGAAATGTTACTATGCATTAAACTTCGAATGACATATGCAATGCAAATTTTTTTTCAAAGTTAAAACTTCATGGTGGGCCTTCGTGAAACATTCAAAGTGACACATACTTTCATTCAAATAAACTTAACTCGTATATCAAATATAATTTATACACCCATAATAGATAAGTTAAATAAAAAAAGTTATTTAGTATGCACAAGATCACAAAAAATGTAATTTCAATTTTTATTATAAAGATCTGATCGATTACACACGAGCTTACTTAGTTAAAATTAAAACAAATGTGCTGGCTGTTCAGTGTTCATCTTTCATATGTTTGTTTCTTCTGTTTTATACCAAATAATAAGTCTCTCTTGCTGTTTTTCTCGATCAGTGCCTCTTCTTTTTACATTCACTTCTCTTTATTTTGCAAATACTTTTTGTCTTTCATGGAGATTTCGTCACTTTCTGTTTTCTACCTTTATTTTTTCTCCTATAACTTTTCTTGTTTTATCAGTTATCTACATTTTTATATATTTGTTTTACAGCATATTACTATTATTTTTTAGTCGCACATCCGTTATAATTTGCGCTGGGATATCTCAAGCATCATGGCAAAGGCTAAAAACTAAAATTAAATGAGGCAAACTTTTTCCGGGTCAACGTTTTAGTTAGAAACGATATTTAAATTTTTATGTGTAATTCAATTACCTGTTAAATTGTTTAAGAAAACTACATTCTTCACACAAATTTCAGATAAAAGTTATAAATAATTGTAACCGTTCATAATTATTAACAGGTGTTTTCAAATGTGAACCCAGACAGTTTGTTGTTATTATCATTAAATGATCTAAAATATAAGCATTAATCACCGTACATTTAGCACTAATATATTCTTAGACTTATCTATATTCAAGCAAAATAGTTCATATATTTCAGCCAAGTTTGGCGAAAAATTACTATTTTTCTACAAATAATTCTGAAATTTTTGTTTCCCATCAATTGAATAAAATAAATGTTTTAAAACGCAAAAATTTAATTTTATGAACGGAAATCCGGAATACGTATATGCGTTACAAACTCATAACTAAAAGATCCATAAACTAATAACTAAAAAATGCAAAAGTTTGTTCGCTGTCCATACTTCTCAATGAAGATTGTGTGTTTGCGATATTTTGACGTCCTACTGTCACTGACGTTTCTTTACAACGGTCCAAGTGAAGTATAGTAAGTGTTCCTCGTGGCTTTGTTTCTTTTTTTATTGTAATTTTTGATTAACTAACAGATTTTTATGCTATTGTTTTACCACTATTAGCCATTAACTTAAAATGCCGTCTGACGCGAAAAAAAAGCGTGAACAAAAGAAAAAAGATGCCGCTAAAAAGCACGATGTGAAGCAAAATAATCAACATCAGAAAACCCATGATGTCAACGCGAATGGATTGACGTCGTTGAGTAAGCACGTTTTTTGTTTTTACTTAATTTTTTCGGTTTTGTAATTTTGTATTCAAATATTTAAAATAATAACAATATGCTATGATACTATGATGAGTGTGCATTAAGTCAGGTTACAGTAGTAATGTGACTAACAGCTTTAAAAATTATTTATTCAATAATTGAATCTATACAGTTTTTAAAAATACTCCAATCTTTTGCATCAATTGCTTCCTGAGATAAGTTATTCCAATTGTTCACTATACGATTTGTAAAAGACTTTTTTTGGCAGTTTTCTTTTTTAACTTTTTCCATTCGTAATCTTTTATCATGCCCTCTTGTTCTTGGGTCAAACACGAACATCGGTTCATCATGCCAGTTTATTACATCTGTGCCACTTACAAATTTGTTCATCTGAATTAGATCACCTCTGGTTCTTCTTTTTTCTAACGTTGTTAAACCAATCATATTTAATCTGTCATGGTATGGTGAGTTTTTTAGTTTACAAATTCTGGTTGCTCTTTTCTGAACTTGCTCTAACTTTTTTATGTCTCTTGTTAGATATGGATTCCAGACTGTAGCCACATACTCCTGGTGTGGTCTTACCAGCGATGTATAAAACAGTTTTAGTGATTTTTCGTCTAGAAGCTGAAAAGACTTTCTAATCATGCTTAATTTACTGTTTGCTTTCCCAACTGCATAATAGACATGTTCCTTCCATTTCAAATCATTTGAAACATAAATACCCAAGTCTTTTTCAAGTTCAGTTTCATTTAATTTTATTTTTTCTATCTATCATTATACATATATATAGTAATCAAATCTAGAGTTATTCTTGCCAATATGCATTATTTTTCATTTTTTTAATATTGAATTTCACCTACCACTTGTCTGACCAATTAAACATTTCATCCAAATCATTCTGTAAATTAGTATTAAATTAAAAAAATTAAATTAAAGTTAAATTAAAATTAAATTACTTTTTGTTTTAAAAAATGTCGAAACTAATAACACTGCAGCTGTTTATAAATGTTAAAAAGTTATCAAAATGGCAGCCGTTTTGAAAATGTTAAAAATTTATAATAGAAATGGCTGCCATTTTCGAATGTTAAAAAATTATAGAAATGGCAGCCATCAGCTCCTCTTCTGGGGTTCCAGTAAACCTGGCATTATGAAACATAAAATATAATCTCAAATGCAATGGAATTCATATTAAAATATATAATAAATAACCTCGATTTTGCTTCAAATTATATACATCTTTTCTTGCTACAGGAAAATATGATTGATGTAGGAAATTTGTTACAAGTGTTGGGTTTGCACCAGCATCCAACATATTTTTAGCCTGCTCCAAAGCAGCTTCTGTAGGGCATCGGTTCTCTGCATATAGTGCCAATACAGATGTACCAACATCATGGTTGTGCTCCAAAGACATCTTCTTAATAATAAACTTCTAAAATGTTTAAGCAGCCACTACAAAATTTGCTATAAAAATTTACCATTTCATTATTAAATATTTCACTCTTTTAAATATTATTATCACTATTAGTAAACAAAATTTAATTATCATTAATCATTATTAAAAATTTCAATTTAATTTTTAAAATATTATCACAATCAATAAACAACAATAAACAAAATTTAATTATTGTAAGGATTACTATTATTACCTTCCGATTTTTGTAGTATGCCACATAAACTGCTGCAGTGCAACCACACAACAAGGATGCCTGATTAGGTTCTGTCCCAGTTTTTTCAAATTTGCAGACAGCTTAACTTTCCATAGTGCTTACAGACCCACCTAATGCAGTAACCATTGTCGAATATACAAAAATTAACATTACATAAAAATTTAAAATATTTGAAATTAAGGCTTGAAAATATTTTAAAAATATAAAACAACCTCTGACTGTATTGCATATCTCAATCAAGATTAACAATTTTGGCGCTTTCCAGAAGACATTTCTTGTTAACTTTTTAGTGTCACACTTCATTGGATAGTAATTTTTTTAAACTTTCTATCACTTCAACGGCTTTTTCAACATTCACAAATCCATCTCCCAACTTTAACGACTCAGAACTCATTTTCGCAAATTAGAATGATAAAGTAACAAATTTAATTTTATTTGATTAAATTAAATCAAACAAAACAATCAAAATCAATCGAATCCTCAAAAGCCTCGCCGCTCACAACTGAAGGAAGAAGAAAAATGAACTCTTGCCGAGAATAATAAATATTAGTATTATGATGCGCAAATAAAAATTTATTTAAAAAAAATTTATTTAAAAAAAATTGATTTTCAATTGTATGCAACGGAAATTTTTACAAATACTTG